ATCTTTTGCAAAAGCCGGCCGGCTTTCGTCTGCTGTCCAGATTTTTCACTTCTAATCAGTTTAGAACGGAGATTGATCGAAGGGCTTAACAAAGGCAACTATTTCAGCACTTCGTAAGGTGAGGATGACTGACTATATTGCTTATAATTAGTGAGTTAATTTCATGAGATTAGCTAAAGTAATTAAATGTATTTTTATGGATTATTAATGATTAATAATGCCTAAAAATAAAGGACTTTTGTCAATTAAGAAAGGCGCATGATAAACAAATTTAAGGATAAATTGTGTATGATTATGTGATATGAGTATGAAGGCTTGATAATGGAATTAACTATGAACTTTATATTGAAATATACTTTTTACTTCATATTAGAATATGAGAGTGAATAAAAGTTATAGTTTGTATATTGCTATGAACTACAATTTTCAAAGGAAAATCAGTTTGGTAATGTCTATATGATTAAGAGTTGAAAATTTGAATAGTTGGAAATTATCCGACTAGTATTAAGATACTAGTCGGGGTATTGGAATGAGATTATGCTACAATTAATCCTAAGGTTGGATTGTGAAATAGTGAACCTTAAATAGTCTTAAGAGATGCTAAGGTGGATATGTATGAACTTTAAGTTATACTAGGGGTAGGCCTAAGGGATACCCAAGATAAAGTGAATAATAAATTGATCCTAGATATAAGATTTGCTTACGGGTGTATTCGTTAGTCCTTAAGGATAGCCGGTTAAGTTATGGTAGTAAGTAAGGACCATGACCCTTCCCGACTCCAGAGAGCGGGGTTGGGCAGCATGGACTTGCATCGTGATCACGAGTTAGGGTGGAATCTGAACCCGAGACCTCACGAGGCTCCGGCAGCGGTAACACATAAAAATAGGACGAGTTAGGGTGGAATCCGAACCGAGACCTCACGAGGCTCCGGCAGCGGTAACACATAAAAATAGGACCGGTTTGGGTGGAATCCGAACCCGAGACCTCACAAGGCTCTGGCAACGGTAACACATATAATAGGACCGGTTAGGGTGGAATCCGAACCGGGGACCTCACGAGGCTCCGGCAGCGGTAACACATGATATAAGATGGGTGGAATCCGAGCCGGAGACCTAACAGGGTTCCGGCAGCGGTAACACATAAGATAGGACCCCGAATGGGCCTTACCTTCCTACGGGATGATGGGTACGAGCCCAGGGGCGAGATGTTGGACTCCGACCCGAGGGCCCGATGAGGCCTCGGGCAGCGGTGACGAGTCTCGTATAAATAATAAGGCCTACGGGCGGTATCGTGCAAACGATGAATGAAATGGAATATAAAAAGGGGCCCACGTGCCGACAAATTAATAAATTAACTTATTATAAAGATAATAAGGATGGAATAAGAACTATCATTATATTATGATATCACTCTATTGAGGGTCTTAGAAATTGAAACATTGATTATACTTAGTATAGTTGTCATTATACTTGTCAAATGCTTCCAAGTACTGACCTCCCCTTCACGGGAGAGGCCACCACACAGTTTCAGGTAGAACTTGAAGGTTGCTACCATTGCCCGTTGCTCGGGAAGATCCAAGGAGAGGAGACGTGGTTCGTGCTTCCTCCGTATCTGTTTTATAAACAATTATATTTAATGCTCATGGATATTATTTTTCTTAATAATTATTTGGGGCTTGTATGCCTAAGTTTGCCAAGTGTGGCTTAAACACTTGTATCAAATGTTTCCGCTGCATTAAATGAATATTTTACATTATGTTTGTTTATGGATGTACTATGTGTGAGTGGTAGTCAAGACGCCTAGTATAGTATGGACGAGTTGAACTGCGGTTGACTATTCGTACTGTACGACAGGTTGTTGACGTGCCCGGTAGGTCCGGGGCGTGACACACTGCACATTATATTGATGATGATTGGGAGCATAAACGTGTTCTTGCTTTTCTTGAATTTAATGATAGACACATCGGTGATAAGGTGTTTTTATGGGTTTTGATAATTCTAGTAATAATATTGTTGTTATACCTAGATTGCGTCAATTGTGTGATTCTTCTACTTTGATGGGTAGATTTTTTCATCAGCGATGTGCATGTCATATTCTCAATTTATGTGTAAAAGACGGGCTAGCCGCGTTAGGAAATGCTATGGATCGGAGATAGTGAAGGGGGGAATTAGACTTATTTGGGCTTGTGTAATCAACTTAAAATGCAATGACAAAATTATTTGAGGGAAAGACGTGTCAAATATTGTGCTTTTCCTAAAGATTTGTCTATTAGCTGGAATAGTACTTATAAGTTAATTAAAGTACTTGTTAGATTTAAAAACCATTTTCCTGCTGTTTTTAAAAGTATATGTTAACTATATTATAAACTCGGCTGAAAAATTATCACTTTCAAAAAGATTGTCAATGTTTTGGTATATTTTAATAATGCAACTCAAACTTTTAGTCATGTTTATACATCTACCACAAACCAATTTTTTCGTGAATCTGTTAATCTCGCCGGTGCTTTTTGTGAATTTTCTGATGCCCCTTACGACTTACGTTAGTTATTTTTGTTCTTACATGAAAGAAAAGTTTTTAAAATATTATTCACATATTACACACACACGCGCGCACGCACACACACACATATGATATTGCATTTATTCATGATCCTCGTTATAGACTTAGTGCTTTGCAACAATGTTTAGAGTACTATTATGCTTCCTTTTTTGGTCCATTTCCTATGTACGAAAATAAAGGCCATAGATACAAAACAAGAATACAACGAGGTTAGTAATTTATTTTATCAATTATTTAATGAGTTTCATGCACAATATGGTAACACACCCCCTCCCCCGACACGAACATCTTTATCTAAAGGAAAATCATTTTTGAAATCAACATTTGGCAATCTTATAAAAAAAAGTAATTCAACTCCCGTTGTTGAACAAAACTCGATTAACGAGCTTTCTATGTATTTAACATTTCCTGTTGACTATGAAGAAGATGATGACTTCTATGTTCTAAAATGGTGGAAAGATAAAGAAAGAACGTTCCCGGTTTTATCAAAGATGGCTAAGCAAGTGCTAGCAATGCCGGTTTCAACAGTTGTCGTGGAACAAGAATTTAGTGCGACCGACAACGTGCTAACGGATTATAGAACGAGATTGAGCGCAAACTCTCTTGAGACACTTTTTGCTACCATGGTCGGTTGAAGACCCAACGTAGAACTCATGAACTTAACATCACCCCCACCTAACACTTTATGGAGGAAACAACAACCAACGGTGGCGGAGATTCCATTTGATTATTATTTATTAGAAAATGTAGGGAAAACTGTCAAATAGGTCCACGTACTTTTACCAAAAAGTCAATTGAGTCCGTGTACTTTTTTTCGAGTCAATTAAGTCCACCAATTATCAAAAAACGATCAAATCGGCTTTTTAATAGGTAACCAACCGGTTACCCGGTTAAAAGCCTACGTGGACGTCCGAGTTGGCATTTTTTTTTTCTGTTTTCCAATTTTTTTATTTTTCCTTTCCTTTTTCTCTTTTCCCTTTCTCTCTTCCTTTTTTCTCTTTTTTCTCTTTCTTCTTCTGGTCCGCTCCTCTGCTGCGTCTCAAACCCCTCCATCTACGGCCTCTCCTTTCTTCTGCAACAATGGAGGTGGCAACGGAGGCTATGGATGTTGGGATGGTTGGAGGTCGTCCGACGGAAGAGGTGGAGGTGGAGACCATGGATGTGGAAGCCGGCCGAAGCGGTGGGTGAGGTGGTCAGGGGCTGAAAGCGGCGGCTATGGAGGCCAGTGCGGTTGGAGGTCGCTTCAATGGAGGAGGCGGAGGGGAAGGCCACGGAAGTGGTGGCCGGAGGCGGTTGAGGACTTAAGGTAAAGGTGGAGGCCATACTCCGGCGGTGTCTATAGAGGTTGGGCGGCGGAGGTGGAGGCTGAAGAGGCCTGGGCGGTGGAGGTGGTGGCTGGAGAGACCTGGGTGGCGGAGGTGATGGCTGGAGAGGCCAGGGCGGCGGAGAGCAGGGGACTGCCGGACTGGGAGAGGAGAAGAGGGCCGCGTGCCGGACTGGGAGAGGAGAAGAGGGCTGCGTGCCGGACTGGGGGAGGAGGAGAGGACCGAGAAGAAAGAGGAAGGAAGAGAAAAAAGAGAAAAAAGAGAAAAAAGAAAAGAGGGAAAGTAAAAAAAAGTAAAAAAAATGCCAACTCGGACGTCCACGTAGGCATTTAACCGGGTAACCGGTTTACTACCTGCTAAAAAGCTGATTTGATCATTTTTTTATAGTTGGTGGACTTAATTGACTTGAAAAAAAGTACATAGACTCAATTGACTTTTTGGTAAAAGTATGTGGACCTATTTGACACTTTTCCCGAAAATGTATTTCATGTTTTATTTTTTTCTCAATTCTCAATTGTAGTTCATATTTCAAATAAATATACTTGAAGTTTTTTTATATGTAGCACTTCTTGAATTAGTTTGTAAACATGATTTGAAAAAAACGTATCCAACCCAGCCCGACCCGATACCCGGGCGGGTAGACCGGCCCGAACCGGTACCAGTTAACACCCAGGCCGGTCCCGGGCTTCAATCTAAAAAATCCAAGCCCAACCGGGCCCGTTCCATCCCTAGTTGTGGACATGCGGTTTGTATCGGGCCTAAACAGTACTGGATCCGGACCGGGCCAGAACGGGTGTGGACAATAAATTAACAAGGCTGAAGCCCACCCTTATTGCCACCGGGCCAGGACCAATCCGGGCTCCGGGACTAAAGAAGACCGGGCCAGGCTGGGCCTAAACAGTGTCGGGGCCGGATCGGGCCAACCCGTCCCAGTCCATCCCTAAGTGAAGGCTACAAAGGAGGCAATAAAAATCGGAACTACAATAGCGAAAGGAAGAAACAACTTAGAAATGCCCGTTGTACACAAAATACTACTGTAAAATATGAAGAATGTCCACAATAGAAAAGAAATTCCCAGTCACAAAATGCCCGTTGTATCACAGATTTAAAAAAAATGTCCATAATAGATACTTCGGTATTTGATTTCCTTACATTCAAACATACTACGTATATGACAAGTGCAGCCAAAATGTGTGTTGCATGCAAACGAATATATGTGCATAAATAATCCGTATTAATTATCTGTGTGAATAATATACTGTACATATTTTCAAATGGAATTTCCCACCACATAGAGTCATAGACACCATATCTGATCTGATGACCAAATTCCAGAACAATGATTATCCGTGACCTGAGTCTACCTAATGTACAAAAAGTGTAGGCCAAAACTTACACAATTGTGATTTTCCCAACCGGATTAGATGAATTTAGAGATAATCTCCAAGCGTGTTTATTTCAGAACCGAAAACTTCAGCTTTCTTAAGATCAGTTGAAAAAAAGCGAGACATGATTTTTTAGCCAAATAGATCAAAAGTATAACGGTATGCCATCTCAAAAACATGTACATCAAAATCTCTCTGCTGATTCAGTTGAGTGAATAAGCAGTTTAATCCGATAGCAAACCAACCCTGCAGCAAATAGTCTTCTCAGTTTGCGTTTGCTTTATGATATAAAACCCAAATATCTAGGAACAGCTCATATTATGCAAAAAGCCAGCACCAGCTTTATTACTGTGTCGTATCTCTAAATCTGCAACCGGAGAGTGCACAGACAAAACACAAGGAACTGTAAGCTGAAACATGAATCACAACTGCTGATTTAGGTAATGATCAGCGCCAGACATCCCAGAGGCACCACCAAAATAGCCAGTAACACTCTCAGAAACATTTGAAACAACCCTAGAGAGCCATGAAGTGCTACGAGTTAAAATGTCGGTTGGCGCCTGGTCCAATTCTTCTTGCATAGATTGCCGTTCTTCAGCCATCAATATGTCAAGTCGTCTTTTAACCATATAATCTTTGATAGCTTGGACCCCTTCATCCACAACCTCCTTAGGAGGTATTGTAAGAGGGTTTTGATCCAGATTAAGCTTAGTAAGATTGTCAAGTCGGGCAAATGAATGGGGCAATTCACTGATTTGGTTGTTGCTCAGATCAAGCTCCTTGAGATTTGTCAAGTCACCGAGCGAATCGGGAAGTGCGGTTAAGTCACTGAAATTACTGCTTAGGTTGAGGATCTCAAGACCTGCCAAATTCCCAATCGAATGTGGAAGGCCTCGAAGCTCATTGAAGTGCACATCTAGAACGTGCAAGGATCTCATCTCACCAATGGATGTGGGAAGGGAGCGAAGTTTATTCAAGAAAATAGCAAGTCTTCTAAGATTCACTAGTCCGAACCCAATGTTGGTTGGCAAGTAAGTGAGTTGGTTGAAGCTGGCATCTAAGTCCACCAATGACCTAGGATAAGTATGAAAATTAACAGTTTAAATGTAGACAAAGACATAGAGTGCTTGTGATGTGTGCCTCATGTGTAAAGAATTTAAGATTCAAAAGGACAAATGCATTTACCTGCACTCACAGATGCTATCAGGTAAGGCAGCTAGTTTGTTGCTAGAGATATCTAAGATCTTCAAGTTGTATAGGAAACCAATAGAGTCCGGAAGTGATTCCAAAAGATTATTAGAGAGATAAAGTTCTTGAAGGTTCTCCAGGCCGGAAATTGAATCGGGTATTGCCTGTTCTCATCAAAGAAGCGTGAAAACAATAAGAAACAAAGTGATCCATATATGTCAAAGAAATGAGTAATTGCTACAGAAATTTTCAAAAAAGCACATAACCAGTTAACCACGTGACAACCAATTCACACACGCAATTTATTCTGCACTGCAGATTATTACATCACCAAAATGAACTCCTAAAAGTGTAGACTCATGCCAACTCTATGTCAGCCACCTATTCAGCGGCCATAACTATTATAATTATCTATAATAGCCATCCTCTCTTTCTACCATAATGTAGAAGAGAGGGATGAATGCAATCATTAATATCTGCGGTCAGTCCATGCATTTTTTTACGCGATTTTCACTATGGGTCATCCAGTAATGATGATGATGGTAAGTTTTAGTTTAGTTTACTTAAATAGAATTAGGTTTTTACGTTTAAATAGAAAGTTTAGTTTCTAAATTTTCCCCTTTCAATTATTAATACCAATTTAAATATTATTAAAGGAGGTAAGTTTAACATCAGGAAATATGGAGTAAATATAGACCAAACCGTAAACCGTAAATGTAAGAAGTGAACAGATTGAGTACCATATTCTCATTAAGCCTAAGTTTGTTAGGATAGAAATCCCAATGAAGGAAACAAAAGAGAACAAAAATTGACCATTTAAAAGCATTTGATTTGTTTGGGGAAGAGGATCCCCGGCCCCCCTGCATCACTCAAACATTTAAAGTAACTTCCATAGTGAGTTGGGTGAAGAGGGAGAGAAGTTGTTTCTATGTAAATACTCCCTCAGTGTAAATTATCTGCTCAAGTAGCCTTTTCAGAGATCTAAGAAGCAAATTGTAGTAGTGAATAATAGGTGAGAGGAGATGCAAAGGCAGGAAAACTAAGAAAGATAAGACGAAAAAGTAAGGTTCTTTAGTGATTTGATATGATGATATTTCCCAAATCAGGCAAGTGCAGCAAATTTTAAAAATCATCCCAACAATTATGGAGCAAATAACTAAAAACCAGAGGGCTATTTTTCTCTTGTTTCATTTCTACCAATCTAACCATTTTAATTCAAATAATTCATCTCCATTTCTGAACTATTTCTCTCATTCTCACCTGTTTCTCTTCTCTTGTACCCACTTCATCTCCCTCTATTTCCCCCCCTCTCCCTAAACCAAAACCAGACAGTTGGAGATCACCATGATATGAGCTTTCATTAATTGGGCAGGTGATACTTTCATTATATCTATTGGTACTTTTACTAAATAGTACTCTTAGTAATGTTCACTTTTGTCTATAAGAAAATAAATACAAAGCAGATTAGTATATGTGCAACGTATATTTACATTTAGGATGTTTTCTTTTGGACTGTTTTCAGTCCCAGACCAGACCAGACCAGACTTAAACAGACCAGACCAGACCAGACCAGACTTAAACAGACCAGACCAGACCAGACCAGACTTAAACAGACCAGACCAGACCAGACCAGACTTCCGTAGTTATAAAATACACAGAGACCAGACGTTTACCAGACCAGACCAGACCAGTTCAGACCAGACCAGACTTAAACAGACCAGACCAGACCAGACTTAAACAGACCAGACCAGACCAGACCAGCAAATTTCAGTCCAAAAGAAAACATCCTTACAAGCATACAAATGCATGGTTTTTAATTCCGGAAAAGCATCTTAAGAAGGTTGTTTACGCTAAAATGATATCATAATAAATTAGGATAAAACAAGGCACAACAATTAAATGGTATATTATCCACATATGTATTTGCTAAATCACACATTCAAATACTGATGAGAATTAACATGCAAAAGGATATGCATAAGTTGAGCAATAAATCAGGTGCAGCCATGAAAACTTGCAACAAGCAACTGATTCAATGGAAATAAAGTCGCAATAAATTTGTCTGCTGATTCCAAACTAAGGCTTACCTCAAGCTGATTGGTCGACAAGTTTAGCACAACTAAGGAGCGGATGCCCCCAAAAGCTTCAGGCAGCAAGGTCAATTGCCTGTGAGATAAATCAACTTTCTCGATTCCATTCCCCGATGCCATCTGCAAAATAGCAACAATTTCTTCATTCACCGCCGCTCTATCAGCAGGATTCTCGTCTCCAGATTCTTCCCGCGCTACAGCGTCCACATCGCCCCCTGCAACAGCCACCTCGTAAATTTTCTCCAGCCTCATCTCCGCCTCTTTCAACAGCCTGGCGTACGATTCATGCATCTCCTCCAATGCAATAACGGCCTTGTGCAATTCCCGCTCCCTCTCCGCCTCCTTGCGGCAATCAGCCTCCTTCTCCGCCAGCTTCGACCTCGATCCCTGCGGATCCACCTCCGTCGGCTGCGACGTCAGCACGATCTCCTCCAGCTTATTAGCCAGGTAAGCATCGATCTCCGTCAGCTTCATCTTTGCGGTGTCCACGGTTTCGTGATCAGGCCGTTCTCCGATGGACGAGAGCATAGATCGCGCCTGCACTACGTCTGCAACGGCCAGCCGCATGGCTGAAGCAACCTTGGGGTCAGTGAGGTGGGGCATCCGCTCGGTAAGCTCAAAATGAGGCTCCTGCACCGTCGGCGATTGTGGTTTTGGTTGTTCAACGTCAAATTCTTCAGCACCGGCAGCCCGTCGAGGACCGATGCTTGGAAGTTTGGACATTACAAATGAGAGAATTGGAAACTTAGTCGGATTCGGATCCATCTCGACGGTTTGCTCTTACCAATTGCAATCTCGCTTTTAAGAAAACTTGGAAGATGGAGTTGTATACCTTCGAAGTCTGGAAGATACCGTAAATCCCTCTGAATATGTTACTTTGTCCCTAATTGCAGGTGGGCTTTTTCGGTAAATTACACCGTACGCTACGGCTGTACCAAGGCCCAAGGGCGCATTTTTGTAATTACATTCAACTAATAGGGCAATAGTTAGATTAGTTGTTTATGCTCTGCGTTGTTTTTCTTTTTTTCAGCCGCTGACCCTTTGTGCTACACTTTGGTTTTGTTCCAGTTTTTGAATATATTTTCAAAACTTTTAAAAAACCCCATGTTGGTTACATTATTTGTCTGCTACTATATTGTTGAAGATAAATAATTCAATTTCATTTTACTTTTTATTTTACACCATTTTTAAAAAAGAAATATTCTTGTTTTGTTAATTAGTGCTTTTATGTGATCCATAATCCATTTTTTAAAGGTATGTGATCCATAATCCATGAAACATGCAGTCCCAAGCTAATTAAGGAATACTTCATTAATAATTAGAAAAAATGACAAAGGCCTAATAATTAATACGGAATAATTACTTTATTAAAAAAGAGAAAGTAGCTATTAAATTTCCCTAGAAGGCTAGAACCGCCCATCCAATTATCTTGATACAACGAACTGTAAAATTAACAAAAATACTTCATGTGTCTCTCAATTATACCGCAAATTATACGGTGCAACCGGCGTACCATGCGCATGTTATGCCGGTTGCTAATACGGTACCGTTTTTAGCTTTTCTCATGCTTCCAAAAGTCCAAAGCCCAAATTACGGAAGTCTTTCTTTCTCTCAGGTGAGTACTTCCTTTCTCTTTATTGTTCTTTTCTATTTTCTTTAATTCTTTTCTCTTTAACATCAAATACTAAAAATTTATTTGTGATTTTATTTATATTTATCTTTAACTAATTAAAATATAAATGAATTTACATTTTTTCCTTTACCAAATTATTACAAAATTTTATTAATCCACATAAAATAAGTGTATTGTAATACATTTTATATTTTATTAATCCACATAAAAAGCATATTTTATTAATCCATATAATAATTGAATCTATTTTCTTTATTCTCTATCAATGCATGACAAAAAGTTTATAAATCTTAATAAAATAAGTATATTCCATCTTCTTCTGCGCACGTTACATATTAATGTACGCGAGTTACATCTAAATATACGTGAGTTACATCTTAATGTATGCGAGTTACACCACTGAATAAACTCCAGCTATATCATTTTTATTGCCCTAATATTAAAAATAAAACATATTCACTATTTATAAAAAGTAATTAAACTATAAGGATCAATTTTTCATTGTTTACATTGAAATCAATGTTTATAATATCTCAAACACAAAAAAATCATTGTTCAACTTTCCAACAAGTTACATTCTGTATACATCCAAGTTACATTTGGCATCAACGTGAGTTACATTTGTAACAACACGAGTTACATTAAAAAATCAACCCCGCTATTGAAACAAAAAAAATGATCTTTTCTAAAAAAATTATTTTTTATAGTCATGATATTAAAAACATAACATATTCACGTTTTACCTAAAACAATTGTGTAATTAGACTCTCTTTTTTCATTATTTACATTGAAATCAATATTTGACAAGTTATATTTTGGATGAGCTTGAGTTACATTGATCAATAACGCGAGTTACATATCTTTACACGCGAGTTACACCATCTATGTTACTGAGACAAAAAAAACTTATTGTACACGCGTGTACTGTTCACGCGTGTACTGTTCACGCGATTTTTTTTTAAAATGTCCAAAACTACATCGTTTTGGGAGTGGGAGTACGGTGCTCATGGTGGGACGGTTGTATGGTATACCAACTGCAATTATACCGATAGACAATTAGCCTTTCAAAGGCCAAACAATAATACTTCATGAGTATTGAGTTTTTTCGGCAAAAATGATGAGTAATGAGTTGATAACTCATCATTGATTAGTCTTAAAGAATTAGGATTTATATTTTTCATCCCACGTTAAAGACTACTGGAGCCGCCCCAAGTTAAAAACATTACTAATTTACTAATTTTCATCCCACATTCGGTATACGACCTATTGTTTTTAATGCACTACTTTATTGAGGAACTTAATTCCTATATCCATTGACATAAGTTCAATAATTAGATTTGTGATTATAAAAAATACTTTTGTCGGAAGAATTGAGAATTGTAGTGTATTAACTATTAAGCATTTAAAATTTTCTATGATTATGTGTTCTAATCAAACTTTAAAGGCTTGCTTGGGATCGTCTATGTTTTCTGTAAATAAAACTGAACATAAGAAAAAACTTTTCCTAGCAGTTTTTCTGTTGACCTTCCCCAATCAGTTTTAGGGACTGCAGTTATATCTCTAAGGTTTCAGCAGAAAATCTAAGAAATTCATCCCATTAAGAAAACACTAACTCCTTTTCCAAATATTTTGCAGATAAACAAGTGACTGATTGGGTATCTAAGTTTTGAACGAGGCTTCGTTTTGTTAGATATTTAAAATTGGAAGAAGATATAGCTGCTATCTAAAGCATGGATGGTTAGAGATTAAAAAAGAAAAAGACATTCAAGGGTCAGGTGAAATAATATGTTATACCTGGAGTAGTTCACTATTATTCTGTCACACCTATAACAAATATACACTGAATATGAGGATATGCTTATTTGTATATACAAGGGCATATTATAATATATTAATATGGTTTTGAATTATTATTATTAGAATCATTAAACGTACCAAATGTATTTTGAACTGATGAAGCATAATTGAATCCTTATGACTTCTACTGCATCCCGTAGCATAATTGTGGAGAAGTGTGGAGAATAATCCGCAATTTGGAAGTCTTTGAGGATTATATTGTCCTAAAGTTATATTATCGATCTACTCTATTTATAATGGAAGCGTACAAGGTTTCCTACTCTGGCTGAAAAGACTAATAAAGCTAAAGTAAATACTTTTTTTGGACAAGAGTGCAATGGGGCCACACATAGAATAGAGTTGGGGTAAGCCAAACTAAAGGCGTCAAGTCGTTAACAATATCACAGCTGATATATTTAAATATGTGGAAATGCAGATATGCCAGTTTGCAAAGATGAACCCAGACATACAGTTTCTGCAGGTGAATTATGAGGAGCACAACTCAAAGATGTACACATTCTTCCCTTCTTTTGCTTCTATGGAGGATGTGAAGGCTGTGTTTGTAGCTTCAGCTGCACTAATGCCACAGTGAGTTCGATCTCATGTGCTCTGCTCGCCCTCAGATCTTTTATCTTGATGCCTGTGAAGTGATGTGCACTCAAAATAATAATACAATACAACACTTATACGTAGTATAGCGTAGTAAGGTTCGTATCCACAGGGAAAGGAATACTTTTCTTTTTATAGAACTAGTGACAAAATGAGGGGTTTTAGTTTGATTTGGTTTAATAAATTAAACACGAAGATGAACGAGTTATGTGGTTTAATTAATGAGAAGGAGACTTGGTTTTGCTTTTATTCACTTAATGAAATGTTCGTCGATCCCGGTTATATCTTTAACTATCTTCCTCTCGAATACTCAATCGAGGAGTATATCCAGTTCATCGAGGGTAGTTATTAATAACGAGAAGCGTTCATTAATAAAACTTACTATTGAGTCAATATAGAACAAGCGCCGTATATTAACTTGATAGTAGCAATAAACTTAAGATGAAAACAATTGAGATTGATAACCTCAACACAAGCGGTTTATTGGTTTAATCAATATAATTAATTCCCCTTAGATTATTAACCATGAGATGCATGCATTAATAATCCATGTTTACTACCATGAAAGGACCGAATTAATAACAAGCGTATTAATCGACCGATTCTAGTATTAATTAATATATGAAACAAAACTAGTTGATCCTTTAAGTAATGTTCAAAATATTAATATGAAATATGAATAGGAATTAATTAATACTCAAGAAAGAATATTAAAGAAGATGAATCTTACTATAGTTAATATCAAGATGTTAACTAATTGTCATCTTAGTAACACTCCCCGATATTAACGTAGAGGAAGAAATAACTATTACTATAACTAATGTCAAGATGTTAACTAATTGTCATCTTAGTAACACTCCCCAACATTGATATAGAAATAGTATTTAAAAGAAGAATTAATATTCAAGGAAGAAGATTAAAGATAATAACTCACAACTTACAAATTCATTAAGCTTCAAAGTAGCAAAACCAAGATGGAAGAGTTTAGCTCCTCATTTGGAGACTAAACATGATGAAAAATATAAAGAAAGAACTTGTCTAAACTGAGCTAAGAAGTATATGTGAAGTGGTGTCTATTGTGAAGGAAAGGGGGTGTATTTATAGGCTTTTTTGGGAGTGCAGCTCGGGTACTCGATCGAGTATATAAAGATACTCGGTCGAGTATGTGTAGAAATGCAAATTCGAGGTATACTCGATCGATTTCAGGTTTAAAATTAAAGACATACTCGATCGAGTATGTATATATACTCGATCGAGTATGAGTAGAAACTTGAATTTCGACCCATACTCGACCGAATTCAGAGTATAATTTATAGTCATACCCGATCGAGTATGTCGGTGTACTCGATCGAGTATCGACACTCGATCGTGGTCAAAATCTTCCCTGCATGTTCCTTTGTTTTCAGATCCGATCCGATTTGAAATCTCAACAAGATACTCGATCGAGTATATGCTATACTCGATCGAGTATAGGTCAAAAATTAGGATTTTGCCTTCTTTTTGTCTTGTACTCTTGCACCTTCCTTCACCAATGATCATTGGATTGATCTTGGACCTGTTTAAACTCAGAATGGACCTAATCTAAACATATTACAACTATTTTACAAACATGACTATTACACCAAAAGTGTGTAATTTCCGAAATATTAAACAATTAAAACTAGCTAAAAACATAAACATACACACGGAAATTACAAGTGTATCATGAAGTAATATACCATCTTTGCTATCGTGTATCATTTGAGTTTAGCATACCTTCTCCATGCCTATTCATCTGCCCAC